TCCAGTCTGCCAGCATGCAGATTAGCTCAGTATATAGGATAGTAAATCCTGCTACACACAATTATCATTGGTGCTTAATTATTTCTTAATATTATTATAAATGGGTTTCAGGTCTGCCGCGTGTGGGCCACAGTGGGTTAGACTGCCAGGGAAACAGGACTCATCTTTGTGCTGCACAGACCGAGGGGTACAGTACCACTAGGAAAAAGGAGGCAGTGATAGAAGGGGACCCCAGTTTTGTGGGGTACAGACACCTGTCCACCTGACACCCAGGTTCCTGACCTTCTGGAGCGTGTGGACAGTCACGGTCTGTGCTTGGAGAAAACTTGTGGGAAGACCTGGGCTGCAGAACAGATTCAAGGGTTTAGCTTGGGAACCAAGGAGCACCAAGGTGTACAGGGATCTGCCCGGGAACTCAACTGATCTCACATGCAGCACAGGGAAGCATGAGAGATCCTGGGGTTTAACAGGTAGCTGATGGGACACAGGAGGTGGGGAGGTCCCTCTGGACCTAGCAGGGCCTGTGCGGGTCGGACGAGCTGAGCTGGAACCAGAGGGGTACTGAGAGGCCCGCAGACCACCGCAGGCGGGTGGGATCCGGCAGCAGAAGCCGTAGACGACGCCTCCCTTCTGGTCGGGAGCACACTGGAGGACGACCGGGGCTGATAGAAATCTGCCAGGGGCAGACGCCTCTTTTGCGAAGACAGGCGGGGGAGCGGAGGGCTGTGGTGTGAGACTAACCTGCTGGCTACCCAACTGGAGCTCAGGGGCACAGGCTCTTCGGAGTGGAAAATGGGGGTGTTGGCAGGTCTCCAGCTCACACCTGGCGTTACCCTCCCAGAATTTCCCCATGATGGCACTTGCTTGCAAGATGGTGCTGGCATTACGGCGGGGTAGCAGTGTTCAGTGGTGGCTGGTGCACCCCTGAGAAAGGTACCCCACCCAGGTCGCCCCAGTGAGCTCCCAGGTTACAGGCTGCAGGCCGTGTGTGTGTCACTGGAAACTCGGTCGACTTAGGGAGTTTGGGACGATGACAGATTGCCAGGGAATTTCAGGGGTTTACACTTAAACTGGGGTGCTGCATTGACTGAGACGTTTAAGGGTGGCTTAAAGACACCAGCCAGGGAACACGCTCTTAATAATAATATCACTTTATTAACCCTTTACAATTTCTTGCATTAGGAATAATCTTTTCGCATACCCCAGCCTGCTCTCCATGAGACACACAGACAGGGAAAGAGCATGGGGTCAGAGCACAGGGTCAGCCACTGTACAGAACCCCTGGCCCTGCTCAGGGGCCCAACAGAGTAGGATTCCTCTGCCGGCTGCAGGATTTGAACCGGCAACCTTCCAGCCACAGGCGCGGATCCTTAGCCACCGCTCCGCCCCGTAGACCTGCTCTTTTCAGACCACCAGGCTATACTGAAGGGAGCAGGTGTGAGAAAATCACAGGGACATGCTGACTGTTCTAAGCTTCCTTCTGCAGCATCGTTTCAATCCTGAGAGCCGGCGTCTAGAAGGAGAGGTTTCTAACTTCGCGGAAGCAGGCTGTGAAGCAAGGAGGTGGACCTGACCGGCGGAGGAACCGGGAGCAGAGGGCGGTCAGACTTTGTCGCAGTGATCGTGAAAACACAGACTCATCCCGAAAACAATCAAGCCCGTGTCCAGGGAAGCGTGACCGGGAAGGCGGCGCGGAGCAATTAAGCAAACAATCGGAAAGACGCCTTTTTCTTCAGGCTGTGTGAGGGGCTCATGGCTGCACGATGGAAAAAGAGTCCACTGCGCCTCAGACCCAGCTGGAGAAGACATTAGAATTGCCAAGAGCCAGACGGAAGCTAATATTGCAACAGAGGTAAAAGATAATGAAAGGCGTTTTTCAGTAATACAACAGCAAAACACCGGCAGAGCCCAGGATAAGTAGTTTATGGGGTAATAGGGGATTAATAACAGAAGACAATAAAAATATTGTAAATATACTAAATTAATATCTCACACAGGCTTTTACAAGAGAAGATCACAATAATGCAGAACATGCAGTGTTGTATCTATCTTCACATTAACACTCTATCATTGTGCACAGCTGTTTCACAGGGACGGCTTGCTTTTAGTATGATAATCAGATCTAGATCTCAGTCCAGCTCCTCTGTATCTTCACAGTAACACTCCATCATCATCATCCTCAGGTCTGTAGAGTAACTGTAGAGACACTCAGTCCAGCTCCTC